TATTTCTATAGCTTTCTGCTCACACTTTTAAATATGTATGCCTCTTGGGTTAAAGTTGCTACAAAACCCCTTTACTTTGCATGATTTGTCCCACTTCACTTTTGCCCTTCCATAATGTTTTCTGTCTGAGCAACAGTACATGTCCTATACCTTTCTTCCTGACCCTCTGCTGTGTATGCCAGTCTCTGCCTGTTCCATCTCCTGCTTTCTGCCTTAGTTTTGGAACCTTTGGTACTTGCCCTCCTTTTCTGTCCCTGTGTTTGCTTTCACCCTGTTTGCTTGAATTCTTGGTTTGTTGGACTGTGTTTGCCTGTTTGACCTTGGTGTAGTTATGAAAAGATTCATGCCTTCATGGGGCATACCTGATACTTGATCCTGTATGGAAGCACTGGAAGTCCAGTCTGGAGGACTATTTTTGCACTAGTACTGGAACACTTAAGTTTGGTCCTTTAAACTTGTCTCCAGTGAAGATTCATTAAATTAATTGGAACTAATTGGAACTAATTAGAACAGAGGGCTAATGCAGAACTTGTCAATGGGCTGCTTAGGTCAGATTTTCCTAAATGCTCTGCAAACAATAGTTCCTGTTGTGTCACCAGTGGGCAGATTTTCAGAAAAGCTCAGCATTGCTTGGCATTAAGAACATCGTATAACCAGGCTTAATATGATTTGTCAATAATGAAACTGCTTTACAGTTCTAATCTTTCTACAGTAAAGAAACAAGACCTGAAGTAATGTATCTCCAAGAAACTTACCGACTTTGGAAAAACTGAATACGTAGAATTTCCTTGCAGTTTCTCAAATGATCTGATCATTTTATAAAATTAGCTAAACTTGTTCTTGTGCTTATTATTGTTTATTTAGTTGTGTTATTTATAGTCTGCCTTCCTCACGTGGTCTCAAGGTGGATCGCACATAGTGAGTGAGTCAGTTCAGTCAACAAAATGGGACATTTAGTAACTAAGAACATAAGAGACGCCAATGTTGGATCAGGCCAAAGGCCCATCCAGTCCAACACTCTGTCACACAGTGGTCAAAAATACCAGGTGCCATCAGGAGGTCCACCAGTGGGGCCAGGACATTAGAAGCCCTCCCACGTTTGACCCCCCAAGCACCCAATACCCACTGCATTAGGATATTGGAAGACTGGAACCACCAGAAGGAATAGGAGCATAGCATAAGCATGAATACGACACATTAAGTAGTACAGAAAGTACATAATAGGATCCTACTTATAATACATTATTATATACAGCAGTAAAGACCACAAGTCCCAATCATTTATCCAAGTAAGTCTGTGAAACCATTTTATATTGTGCAGCCTTATTACCTGCATGGAAAAGCCCTCTTGAATAGTTCAGTTTTGCATCATTTGTAGAAGGCCAGAAGAGTGGGAGCCTTCCTGACCTCTTTGGGTAGGCTGTTCCACAAGGTGGGAGCCACAATGGAGAAAGAATATGTACAGGCAATTGTGGATTTTGCCCATTTTCAGGTTAGCACCTGCGGGAGCCCCTGCTAACGTGAGTGGTTGTTGGGGAGAATAGAGACTGGTGGTCCCATAAATAAGAGTGGCCATGAAGGGCTTTATATGTGATAGCCAATACTTTAAACTGAGCTCAGTAACAAATGGGCAATCATTGGAGGATTTGCAGAATGAGAGTAATATGCATGTTCTGTCTAGCTCCCACAAATTGTCAAGCTGCAGTTGAAGTTTCCAAATCGATGTGTTCTGATGTTAATGTGTTCGATTGGAATGGTCTTTAATCTTACAGTATATGATTCTTGACTATGAACATTTACTTCTGACAGAGTTTTCCTGTTTAGTCAGACCATTTCCCATATTTACAACATACTGATGAGCAAGTGTAACCTGGGTGTATACAATATTGTAGAATGCAAACGGGATTCTTAGAATGAAGGGTCTGAAGGCTGAAATAACCTCTAACCCCAAGCTGGATCCTCAACACTCCTGTCTCCCAAAGCTCCATGTACATAATTTACAAATGTACCACAAACAAGTGAATCACACTGCTGTGCTTAGCTGGGAGATGGTTTGGAAGAACATTCATTCTTTGTTGGCAATCGTTCTGGGTACCTTAAGATGATAATTTGACATCGTAACTGATATGATACAGCTACTACAGAGTAAGTTTTCTGATGGATATGCCAAGATCAACTTTCTACCTCTGGCTTAATACTAAGAACATAAGAACATAAGAGACGCCAATGTTGGATCAGGCCAAAGGCCCATCCAGTCCAACACTCTGTGTCACACAGTGGCCAGAAATACCAGTGCCATCAGGAGGTCCAGCAGTGGGGCCAGGACATTAGAAGCCCTCCCACTGTTGACCCCCCCCCAAGCACCAAGAAGACAGAGCATCACTTGCCCCAGAGCCCCTAGCTATACCTTGTGGCTAATAGCCACTGATGGACCTCTGCTCCATATGCTTATCTAATTCCCTTTTGAAGCCGTCCATGCTTGTAGCACCCACCACTTCCTGTGGCAGTGAATTCCTCCTCTAATTTCTTAAAGGAGGAGATTGAGAGAGCTGATTTCACTTTGTCAGAACTTTCAAATTGTTACCTCTTCCCCTCCACGTCACCTCTAAATCACCCTGTGGTGATGTTACTTGGCCAGCCATCACCTTAAACTGGTCTTATGACTTTACCGTATGTTGAGAATGAAGCAAGAGCTACTTGGTGAATCTTCCCTGAAGGAAATTTGTTTAAGTTGTAAGCAGAGCTGGAAAACATTTCTCCTTCCTAGGGGACAGCATCAAATTCTAGGTGTTTGGGTGATGACCATTCCAACCAGCTAGCATCTGGGCTCTAGTTCTGGCAGTCTTTCATGTCCCCCAAAATTTGGAAGTTATGGCCTACCTATTAGGCTATAACTAAGGCTTTAAACCTCTAAAGCCCCTAAGGCTCTGAAGAAAGGGAAATCTCCTACTTTCCCACTAAACCATTTTTAACAATGTATTCTATGAATTAAGCCCTGGCCTGCTTATTTACTTATGCATGGGATTTGGTTACATTTCCCTTAGCTTGTATAAACTGCATCCTGGGTAGGCTTTCCTTCAATATTGGTAACCTTAGCTCGCATTGTGATTTGGCAGAAGCAACATAGCAGCACACTGCATTTCTCGGGACTTTCTTCACTGTCAGGCCAGTCAAGGTCTGCTTTTGGCAACAGACTCTGCTGCTTGTGCCTGCATGAAACTGGCTAAAAGGAGGGATTCAGGGTTCAAAGGGTGAAAGAGTCTGAATGGCAGGAGTGAATATTTGTGTGGATACTTATAGTTGCCAGGTTCAACTGAAAGAGAGTGTCTCCTTTTAAAGTATATTTACTTGCCTTGAGGAATGCTGTTGCAAATTGAGAGCCATTATTAGCAAAAACTGACTGGAAACTGACCATGGTATAGCTACCATATTAGTTACAATGAAGGACGCTGATCCTGTGAGTTGCAGCAATCTCCTTTGAGATGTCCAGCCATAGCATTTAAGTTACATGCAGAATGAATAATGCATAGGAAGAACAAACAACCCTTATACTTGAGCATCCTTGCTGCCCCACAGGAAATGTATCTCAATTGGTGACAGATTGCATTACTACAGTTGTTCCTGTGGTACTATATACTATAGATTTAGAGCCAGTGTGGTGCAGTGGTTAGAGTATCAGACTAGGATCTGGGACACCCAGCTGTGAATCCACGCTCTGAAATATGTTGGGTGACCTTGGGCCTGTCACACATTCTCAGCCTAAGCTACCTCACAGGTTGGTTGTGAGTATAAAACAGAGAAGGGGTTAATGATGTAAGCCATTTTGGGTCCCCAGTGTGGAGAAAGATGGGGTATAAAGGAGGTAAATAAATAATAGATTTAGTCTTGCGGACATAAAAATCTTTATCTTTATCTTAACTCTTTAATATCCTTCCATAGTAGTTCCAAGACCAGGGCTATTTGGGGGCAGGAAAGCACAGGAACAGAGTTCCTTCCCCGGCCTGTCCAAGGGCCAGCTTGCCCTGGCTCCCTGCAGCCACAGGGCACCCGGGCAAGCCAAGGGAAGGCAGTGTAAACTCCCTCCCCTCCCCTCCAAGGGCTGGGGGAGGGGAGGGGAGGGAGCTGCGGGGTGCCCGGGCAAACCAAGGGAAAGCAGTTTAAACATCCTTCCCTTCAAGGGGGGCTTGCCCGGGCTCCCCACAGCCGCGGGGCACCCGGGCAAGCCAAGGGAAGGCATGGGGTGTGGCCTAATATGCTAATGAGCTGCACTGTCAGGGGTGTGGCCTAATATACTAATGAGTTTCTGCTGTTGGGTGTAGGATATTATGCTAATAAGTTCCTGCTGGGCTTTTTCTACAAAAAAAAGCCCTGTCCAAGACTAATTCATAGCATTAGCAAGCAGGGATGTTCATTCATTCCCAAATAAATGAATGCCCTCATCCCACCCACAAAGGAAGCCAAACTAAATTGATTCATCAGGACAATGAAAAAGAAGGGGAAAGGCACCAAATAAAAATTTATTCCTCCCCCTGCTCTTTACCCCTTCTTGTACTCTCCTCGAAGGGAAACAAAGATGAATGTAATTAAAACAAACAAGTATAAAAACAAATATGAAAGATGCATAAAATGAAAATGAAATGAAATTTTTCAAAAAAGTGCACAAGCTAGGAGAAGCAGTACGTTATAGTAAATTAGCAGAGTGGTGCTGATGAATGGTAGGTAATTCTTCTGCAGAAAGGGCATCACTTTCAGTAAGAGCTGTCAGCTCCCTTTGGTTTGTGGTCTTTAAATGGAACATACTGTGCCCCAGATTGTAGTCTGTGAATAGGTCCATGATTCTAAGGAGCTACTACACCAGCTGGCAGCAACAAAATTTGGCAACAGTATTATGACATTATTATGAGCTACTTTCCCCATCTGTGTTATTTAAGATAAACCATATGCAGTCCAGGCTACAGCAGCTGTTTCCCATATTTTTGTCTGTTTCCTCCACACAGAAGATACAACAGATGTCTGAGGGATCTATGTTTGGCCATGGCCTCAAGCATCTTTTCCATAGCCGCAGACGGTCCCGAGAACGGGAGCACCAGAACTCCCAGGAGTCATCTCAACAGCAGCACCATGGCATGTCTGATCATGACTCCCCTGACGAAAAAGAACGCTCTCCTGAGATGCACCGAGTCTCCTATGCCATGTCTCTCCATGATCTCCCAGCCCGACCCACTGCCTTCAACAGGGTATTACAGCAGATCCGCTCCCGTCCTTCTATCAAGAGGGGGACCAGTTTGCACAGTGGCAGTCGCCGAGCCAAGAGTAGCTCCCTGGAACCCCAGAAAGGCAGCCCTCATCTTGTCCGCAAGGCTCCCCAGGACAGCAGCCTCACAGCAATACTTCATCAACACCAAGGGCGGCCAAGATCTTCATCTACCACAGACACTGCTCTCCTTATGGCTGAGGGAGGGACTGTTTACCTCCTCGCAGAAGAGTTAGAATGCCTCACTGATAAGGTAAGACTGAAGAGGGGCTCAGTCAAAGACTGGAAATATGAGGCTTCCTGCACCAGGGAAACCAATTTGCATTAGACAATTCTATATCATTATTATCCTTGTCTTTGATAAGGAGATCCAGCCCTGGAATCCAGAAGGTGCCATCATCAGTTTTTATGTAGAGATGCAAGGATAACTAGGACAGATTGCATGGCTGAATCTGTATTGATTGATTGATTTTATTATAATTAGTGTCTCTGAGAAGCACCTTCTTGCTGAAGACAGAAGCAGCTTCCTCTCAGGTGGATTTCCTATTAGGAGGTCATGTGGAGTTGCCAACCTACAGGTAGGGCTTGGAGATCTCCCAGAATTACAACTGATCTCCAGACTACAGAGATCATTTTCCTTGAGGAAATGGCTGCTTTGGAGGGTGGTCTCTATGGCATTATACCCTACTGAGGTCCAAACCCCACCCTCCAAATCTGCAGGAATTTTCCAACCTGGAGTTGGCAACCCTCATCATGCCTCAAACAGCCATCAAAAGTTCTGAAAAGTGATCTTCCTAAATAATGACTGAGAACTGTCTTCAAATGTCTGCATGAGACCCAGTTTGGTGTAGTGGTTAAGTGCGCGGACTCTTATCTGGGAGAACCAGGTTTGATTCCCCACTCCTCCACTTAACTGGGAAAGGCCTGATGGAAAAACTGCAGCTGCCAGGCTTCTGACTGGAAGATATTGGCCTTCACATATACAGGCTGTTTTGAAGTAGCTACATTGGCTGCCTATTGGTTTCCAGGTCAAATTCAAGGTGTTTTTGACCTTTAAAGCCTTAAATGGTCTGGGGCTGAGGGACTGCCTCTCTCTTTACAACCCCCCTTGGCAGCTGTGATCATCATCTCGTGGCATCCTGGTGGTGTCGGGCCTTTGGGTTGCACGTTTGGTGTCAACCAGGGTGAGGGCTTTTTCTCTCATAGCCCTGTCCTGGTGGAATGTCCTCTCAGATGAGACCTGGGCCCTGCAGGATCTCCCTAGGTTCCACAGGACCTGTAAGGCTGAGTTTTTCCGTCAGGCCTTTCCCAGTTAAGTATATCTAGGAGGATTACTACTACTACTACAATGACTACGACTACTATTATTATTAGAATTAGAATTAGAATTACAGAGTTGCAAGGGGCCATACAGGCCATCTAGTCCAACCCCCTTTCAATGCAGGATCAACCTAGAGCATCCCTGACAGGTGTTTGTCCAGCCGCTGCTTAAAGACTGCCAGGGAGGGGGAGCTCACCACCTCCCCAGGCACCTGATTCCACAGTTGAACAACTCTTATTGCAAAAAAGTTTTTCCTAAGATCCAGCAGGTACCTTCCTGCCCTTAATTTAAACCCATTATTGCGAGTCCTTATCCTCTGCTGCCAACAGGAACAGCTCCCTGCCCTCCTCAAAGTGACAGCCCTTCAGGTACTTAAAGAGAGCAATCATGTCCCCCCTCAGCCTCCTCTTCTTCAGACTAAACATTCCCAAGTCCCTCAGCCTTTCCTCACAGGGCTTGGTCTCCAGGCCACCGATCATCCTTGTCGCTGTTCTCTGCAGGTGATCCATTCTGTCCACATCTTTTTTGAAGTGAGGCCTCCAGAACTGCACACTCCAGGTGCAGCATGACCAGTGCAGTGTACAGCAGGACTATGACATCTTGTGAATTGGATGTTATGCTTCTGTTGATACACCTCAAGATCACATTAGCTTTTTTTGTCACTGCATCACACTGGCTGCTCATATTTCACTTAAATTATTGTTATTAATTTCATTTCTCTACTAGTCATAGCCAAAGCTCTCTGGGTAGTTTACAACAAGTATGAAACTGTAAAATTCAATAAATAAAAATATTAATAATTAAAAATTAATTTAAGATAACATGAAAACATTAAAAGACAATAGAAACAGTAGAAAACAGTTAACAGAGGCACCTGGGTTAATGCTGGACCCACTGCTATCAGTTGTAAAATGTTTGCATTTTATACTGTTTGAGAAGATAGCTTCCATCTTCTTCTATTTCTAGTTGTATTCCAAGATAGTTGTTGATGTTTCCTAATTGTTTCACTTCTACTTCTTGAGTCAGATGTTGAACTATTTTATCACAGTCCTTATCTTAATAGCATACAATCAGGTCATCCACATAAGTCTCTTTGTTGTCTCCATGTCTTGAGTATAGGCAACATTCTGCCTTGCCTTGCTCAAATCCTGCCTTGGTTAGCATTTAATGAAGTTCCTCATTCCAACATCTTGCAGCTTGTTTCAGCCCACAGATGCTCTTTTTAAGTTTACACACGAGTTGCTTGTCTTTGGAGTGTTCAAATCCTGGTGGCTGTTCCCTGTAAACATCTTCCTTTATTTATCTGCGTAGAAAGGCAGTCTTTATGTCCAGATGCTCCACATGCATCTTCCTTGCTGCTGCTATGCACAGGAGCATTCTTATTGAAGTATGTTTCACCACTGGTGCAAAGATTTAGTCATAGTCTTCTCCACACTTCTGAGAGTATCCTTTAGCAACCAATCTGGCTTTGTATCTTTGTGTTTTGCCTTCTCCATCATGCTTGGTTTTGAAGATCCACTGGCATACTACAGCCCTCTTCCCTGGAAGCAGTTCTGTAAGTGTCTATGTTTGGTTCTTGATCAGAGATTCAGTCTCTTCTCCATTTCTCTGCTTCTTTTGCAGGCATTCTTGCTATGTCTCTTTAATTAAGTAGGTCACAATGTATCTTGAGTAGTCATCAATAAATGTTAGCACATATTTATTCCCACTAGGGGTCTGAGTTTTCATTGGTCCACAAATATCAGCTCTAAGGGTCACTGTGTTTGGCTTGTGCCACGTTCTCACACAGCACACACACCTTTCTTCAGCCGCACCAGCAGGACATCTGCTCATTTGCATGCCTTTAGATAAATTCTGGCTTTCAAGTTAACTAATTACATAATTGTCCCTGTATCCCAATCTCATGTGCCATAGCCTGGTGCAATCTTTGTATTAGCATTGCTTTGCAAGGTTTGCTTTCTGCATATAAGCATCAAGAGTGTCCAAATCCTGATTCACAATTCCAGTTGTAATTAATTCTCTTCCCTGTCTGATAAAACATCTGTTTCCAAAAGATGCTGTCATTCCTTGCTTTGCCAGTGCTCTTACAGAGATAAAATTATTTGGTAGCTTCAGGACATAAAGACAGTTTGTAATGAGGACCTCTCAAATTTCTCCATTTGGGAGCTTGCATTTTTTTGTCCCAGAGCCAATGCCTTCAGCCATTACAGGGCATCCATCTGAAACAATTTCTCTTGCTTTTGCTTATCCAACGTTTTAAAAAAAATGCTTTATAAGCACACATGTGTTGTGTGCAGCCACTGTCTATGTACCATATATCATTTCTTGTGGCTCTTGGTGATAATATAAAACATTTCTTTATGGGCTGCTACTTAACTTTAATCAGAGCCTTTTTGCTGCTGTTCCCCCCTCCTCCTTTGAGAAAGGCTTCTCTCTGGTTAACTTTACAATAAATCCTCCTAATGTGGCCTCACTTTCCACAGAGGTGAGAGGTTTTCTTGCCTTTGTTATTTATATTGAAAGCCATTTGGCTAGTCTCTGCTTTTCTTAATTCCCATCTATCACATTCCTCCTCAGATTGATTGATAAGACTTTGGAGCAACAAATCATTCTTACTCAAGTTGAAACACTGTGTTTTCATATGATTCTGGCAGGTTGATTAAAATTAACACAAGCATAGCTGCATCTGGAATTTCTTTCCCTGCAGCTCTCAATTGCTCCGCTAATTCCAATAACCTTGTCAAGATGCTGCCAGAGGTTCCCACTTTCCTGCATTCTTATGCCAAACAAGCATTTCTGAATACAGGATGTAAGGAGGATTTTACATACGATCTTTCCCATCCAGCCCAAACAGCCTTAGCTGTTGGCATCTTAATGACTCTTAATACCCATCTGTTAAACCAGTGATAATAGCACCTCTTGCCTGGTTGTTCTTAGCATTCCATGCGGTCTGTTGCTCTGCACACTGGGCTGGGTGGTGAGTCTAGATAACAGTCTAGAGGCCTTTTTCAAGGTGGTGGGTCTTCATTCTTTCTCTCAAAATTGGATGGTTGCCCTCCATGAGCCTATATATCAAGTGACCATGCTGTGCACCACAGGAGGTCACCAACTTTGTTCCTTTATTCTTGCCACCTCATGCCAAAGAGCCTCTGGTGTTCTCTCTACCTTTAAAATCAGAGACGTGCTTAATCTTGGCCCATAACCCCAGTTGACAAATTAACACAGCAACAATGTGCAACCTGATTAAAGAGTACATAAAAGTTCATTTAGGAACTAACATACTTGATAGAAAAGAGGAGAGACAGAAATAGATTCCTAACTACATCTCTAGCTGAGAGAGAGGGTAAGACTAAGTATGGAACTTTTGAGAAGAAGCAGGAAACTGTCCTAAGAGTAGTAATCTGGAAACAGACAAGGAATGACACTTAAAAGACAGAAGGTGCTTTCTTCACTATCCTGTCTAGTGGTCTTCTTGCTGCTCCCTTCAGGGTTTTCTTCTGATATCATCCAGTTCACTATGTGATTCCCAACTGGTTGGGATGGCCCATTTGCCTGTCATTGGAAAGCATTGCCATTACTCCCAGCTGACTTTGTTTGCCTAATGAGGACAATGCATCATGAAGTCTGATTGGTCTTGGAACTGAGAGGCAGTTTGGTGTAGTGGTTAAGTGCACAGACTCTAATCTGGGAGAACCGGGTTTGATTCCCCACTCCTCCACTTGCAGCTGCTGGATGACCTTGGGTAAGCCATAGTTCTGCCAGAGCTGTTCTTGAAAGAGCAGTTCTTGAAAGAACAGTTCTCTCAGAGCTCTCTCCGCCCCACTCCTCCACTTGCAGCTGTTGGATGACCTTGGGCAAGCCATAGTTCTGTCAGAGCTGTCCTTGAAAGA